TCCCTTCTTCGAAAAAGAATGCCCCAGAAGAACGTTAACTTACTGAGGTCACGGTACTCATATACCCCTGGTCGAGTGAGATTTTACAACGAACTAAGGAGGCTGTTCATCAAGGGTGCCTTCTTTCGCCATTCCTGTTCATTTTCGTCGTAGACGGAATTCTGAAGAACGCTTAAGTGGCCTCCAAAACGTAGGTATTGAATGGGCAGCTGGAGAAAAACTGTGCGATTTGGAGTACGCTATGGCATCATGTGTTTGTTCGAATGCACGGAAGACGCGCAAAGCGCACTTGATAGACTAACCTAGTGCTGTTGCCACATGCTTTGCATCTTCAAAGTGCAAAGTGGTGCTGCAGGATTAGGTTTCACCTACTCTCGCTCTGAAACTAAATGACCAGGAATTAGTTATTGTGGATTGCCCTTCCTCCTTAGGTAGTTGCATGACCAATGACAGTAGCGCAGCAAAAGAGATAACCGCCCGCATTGCAAAGGCTCGAGCAGCATATGCAGGACTGAAACAACTTTGGCGTAGACGCGACGTTTCACTGAAGATGAAAGGTCGTGTATATTATACTACCGTTCGTTCAGTTCTTTGTGGTTGGGTGACCTTGAATTTGCGAGTGCAAGATATCCATCGAATCGAAGTTTTCGATTATCGGTGTTCACGGAGTTTAGCCCACATGGGATCAGGTGAACGGGTCAGTAATCTGGAGGTAAGCTGTCATGTGTTTGAGAGCCTATCGGGGATAAACCTGCTAGCACATCGAAGTTAGATTAGTAGGCTTCATTGACTAGGATAAGTATTACGTATGCCCAGCTGTCGTCTGTCGCATTGCGCTTTATTTGCTGTAGCCGCTTCGGGTTAGAGAAAACCTCGTGTAGGTCAACAGATGGCGGAAGATGTGGCATGAAGAAATGCAAAGAGCTATTAGGTAGAGTAGATGTTTCGCGCCTTCCAGGTTGGGGTCGGAAAGACTCTACAGCCGATTGAATCGATACATTGAAGGTTGAGGCAGTGAACGGACGGTAGTTTCATTTTTGTTGTCATTTCTTATCAGGCTAGAATGTTTGAAAGGTAAGTGTGCACAGTTGTATTGTGTACTGTGTGTTGANAGGTTCACTTTCTCCCCCATCAGAATAGGCCCAATCCCTGCCCACTTTAAATATTACCACCAACTAGGTATGCATTGCAAATTTAACAGCGATCAGTGAAATTAACTTTATTGTATTTCGCTGTAAGATGATGATGATGACGTTCACAAACTGCGTACTGAATGCCACAGGTTGCAGTCAAGTACAGATGGTTACCCCTCGGCTGTGCATGAAATATGAGAGCTGGGAAATGTAGAATAAATGATGGGTTCGAATTGTCAGTCTAAAGCATTCGTGTGTGTGTGTGTTTGAATGGTGTGGTTTTTATTTTGGGAACGGAGATTGGTCAAGGCTAGTCAAGTCACTATGAGCTTTGTACACCCATGGGTGAATTTCCAGCTTTCTTTATCGTTATTACTGCGGATATTCTGATTAAAAATGAAATTAAATAATTAAAGTCGTGGGGGACATATAATTGTTTAGCCAAGAAAACGCCAAGTTCACTAGTTACCCTTTTATGGGTCGATGGGAACACACGATTACGATGGAAGAATTGAATTACGCAACGGGAAGTACGGAAATTTAAAGCTAGCTCGTGTGACGGCTGTGGATACGGCCCGAGACCATTCACTGTGTAAAATATGTGAAACGTCTTTAAGTACGAATGAGGCAAATTCGTTAGGTGTATCAGTAAATCTAGTAACAATATTATCTACAATGATCACTCTAGGAAGTCCACTGCATTTTGATAGGTCCTTTAAAGATCATCTCAGAAGAATAAATCCCTCACTAGTAGGTCAGTAAACATAACTGGTGAACAATGCAATGTCATGTCATCGGGAAATAATGTAAGCATAACTCCTGTCTTACAGAAAGCATTTCTAGTCTCAGGGACAAAAATAAGAACCTTTCATGACTTCTCGTGGACTACGATAGATTAAGTTAAAAACACTCCCAGATATTTCACACTGATGGGTCTTGTTTTTGAACTTTTCGTTACCCAGGCTAGAGAGAAAGCCGAATTTCAGAGTGCGATATGGCTCACCGGATTGTCATGAAAATGTCCTCCTAATATTTGGCGATGTTCAGAATAAGAGGATTGGATCTGGAACACCTTAGGACTGCATCAGGTTTTTTGGGACTTCAGAGGCATGAAAGTTTATGGCCAGTTACTATATCGTCGGTCCGTCTACATCCAATAAATGTAGAAACAATAAGAAGTTTGTTGGCATAATGCAGATCTGCGACGGACGACACCTTGATAACCCTGGAGTTGGCTGGAAAAGACGCTGACAATTTACCATGATACTATGTGAAGTGAGTACGATCAATAAAGTAATCACGAGTGATTTAGCAAATGCCTGGGTTTATACCTTTTTCTGAAAGCTTTTTCAGCAAGTTGGGTTTGTCGAGACAACTAAAAACATGCATGTAATCAAGGGATACCAGTCGCACGGTTTTATACTTTCCATTGAATGCTAAGGTGTGGTGGTCAAGCAGCGTAAGTGGCGAACACAGGCGTGCCTTAGTCCCTAAGGTTCTGGGTTCAAACCCCGTCATCGTTATCCAGTTCGCTATCGTTCGATTCAATGCCGAACTCATCTCAGTTGAAGTATTATATTCCAGGTCCCAGGGCTTCCTGTGCCGGTTAACAGGAATGAATAGTAGGTCACCTGGACTATGGGTTTTACCTTTTCTGCTTTTCATCACACGGTGGTGTGTGTGGGCAGACAGCGATGTTGGTGCTTCGCTGAAGAATCATTTTGTTCCTTGAGCGACCAGGCTCCTTTAACTTTTCCCTGTACAATCAAAAACCAATATTATATGAGGCTACTGATTTTACATTATTTTTTGTTTTGTTTTAATAAGCCCAGCTGGCGGTGGAAAATAAGGCACACTATTTGAGCGTGATATTCTTGTCCAAAAACCTTGTGGTTGACCTTCACCCATGTATATTTTATGTTAGAATTTTCTTCCCCTAGGAGAATCACTTCATTTGCATAGTTTTTTTTAAGCTTTCGCAACCAATATCTTTTTCATCTTATCTTTTATTTGCTTCCTTTTATTAAATGTACAATTATAAAATCTGCAGGACGGGGGAAACGGCCAATCCGACGGTTGCCACAAAGGAAGTCAGGGGGTGGTAGTGAAATGGGAACACACGTCTTCCGGGGCGATAAGTTGATAACGTTAGTGCTTGACCACTACCACCACCCTCGGCTTTTTCGTGCCATAGTTTTGACTACTGTTTTTATTGGCTTTCCGTTTGGTTAAACGATTAGACGGAGCAGTATAAAAGTGAATGTATAGAATTCCGATGAACTTATCCCACTGAAGAGATCTAGGATTCACATGCGCCAAATCTGTTCGGTTATAGCATTTCGCGTTGCTGCCACCAGCGCTCTGGTCCACAAACTTCCAGGTTCGAAGCTCAACGGTCAGCTGATCTTACCCATACACAGCTTCCATTCTGTCCGACTCAATAGCAAACCTATTCTTCAGTGTATTATGTAGTTTCCTGCTTGACTTGCACTGTTGCGTCATCCTGAATTGGTACGTTCTCATCGCGGGGAATTTGACCCATTTTCTATGTTTCACACTGTAATTATGTGTTACAGGAGCTCTGCTTCTAAGGCTGTCTTTTCTTCTTCCAAATGGACGTCTCAGTTTCGTCGTTGGCGGTTTCCCGACCACTTGATTATCATTATTGAAATAACCGCGAAGTTTCATTGTGACTATTTGTTTTCATACCATTAAGATTCGACTGCCCGCACACGAGGGTTACACCGCTATATTACCACTTCTTTCGTAACCGTTGTGATAAATCAGTTTTTCAACGATTTATGTTTTAGATTATCATGTTTTAGTTGCTTCTATCACGCCAAGGCCAAACCTGTGTTTCTTCAATTTTTTCACTTCCTTCTCTTCAATATCATCACCACCACCACCACCATTATCGTCACAGTTTCATTCAATGTTATTGGTATTTTCGCCACTTTAATCGCTACATTTTACCACGAAAAGTGTATGTGTTTGTATATATTAGCCGCCCATGTGACGGAAATTTGCTACGCGTAGTTTCAAGTGATGGGCAGGCAGCGAAAATTATTTACTTCAGGCTGAGATGATGAGCCACGCAGATGCGTGTCGTTCCTTCGATCAACTCACTTCTCAACCTTGACTTGCAACTGTTTCAGTTCTTTTTCGTTGAACAATCACAACTGTGAATCAATCCCTTAGGAGGTCATTGCTTGGACGGGGACGGGGAAGAGGGAGGGAGGGAGGGAGGAATGCTGGGCGGTAGTGATGCGATTTCAGTTCACTCCATTCTGGTCACTGTATGACGGTGACTTTAGCCGCCTGACCAGCCCTAATTTTAGCACTTTTGTCTCCGTTTCAGGATAAGACCAACCTAATTATGAGTCGTCAACTTGTTTGCCAAGATGGTTTCCCAATCGGAATTTTAAAATTAGGTTCATGATAGTATGTATACTCCATTACAATTTCCTGATCTCCACCATCATTTCAGGTCAGTGATCTGGAGACGCAACTTCAGCTCACGACAGTCCAGTTGGAGGAACACGTGGTCAAACAAAACGAACTCCGGCAGTGTGTTTTGAACTGTGAGAAGTTAAAGGCGCAAGTAAGCTGGTCCATAGACGCAAACGTTTACCATATACATGTAGTTTTGTTGTATATCAATTGCGTTATGTAATTCAGTTCATTTAAAAAATGACATTTAAGCTTAAATCAATGCGTACATTGTGAGACAGGTGCGGTTCATCACTGTGAGGATCAGTTCTGTTACTCCCGCAGTCGAGATGCCAAAACGTTCGCACTGTCCAGATGTACACATGTTGCTTCTTGCTTGTTTGAGAACGGTAGTGAGAAGTGTGCATTTGCTAGTATGCCAATTGTAGTCATATGCATACATTTATGGTGAAACACTCTGTTCTACGAACGCTTTCGAAATTTTTCTCTGTCGTCCACATGATCAATCCAGTTTGTCACCGGTTTATTGATAGAATCACATTCTTGCATCAGTAGTCACGCGGTTCTTTTGTTTGGTATCACACTTGGATATCTTAGCTACGTTGCGTGTTTGTGTGAGGTTTGCATGATGAGACTACACTATGAAGCTTGAGCGGGCAGTGGAATTATGATAAGTTTATGGTCCTGTGCCGTATAACTTTCCATCATTGCTTGGTTTGTAACCGATCGCAACGGACACGAGTGTGCTCCTTATTGTTCTGTTCTGCAGTCCCAATCAATGCCCTTCAGTTGATATTTAGTTTTAAAATCGCTTTTTCCTTTTCCATGGTTTGTTTGTGATTGGTGTTACTGAAAATCAGCATTTGAGGACGTTCTTATTGTGTTGCAATGCATGATAAAATTTATCTTTGGCTAAACCAGCAATGTGCACGCGTACACACATCGTTTCATGCAGTACATAGCGTTTATTTTCTCTCGTCTATTATTATAGGCCACTAAAGACGCATCAGATATCACAGAACTGAGGCGCCAATTAACGGACACTAAATTGGCTAATACTGCACTCGAGGAACAGGTGCATGGTTTGAAAGAACGATTGACAAGCATGGTAAATTCAACACCCGCAGCAGCCTCTCCCGTACGCACTGCAGAAAAATCAGAGGATGCGGCCCAATCAATAGCAGATCAACTGAATGACCTGCGGACTATGTTGGAGACGGAACAAGCTGCCAGAAACAAGGTGGAGGAGGAACTCGTGCACGAGCGCCAGGATGCACAAGACAAACTTTCATTAATTGAACAACTTCGCCTCACAATCAACCAGTGCGCCGTACGTACCTCAGATGAATCGACTGAGTTGAAAAGAATAAAAGAAGCTCTGGAGGAGAGGGAGCGAATATTCGCAGAATTGAGCGCCACTCTGGAACGCGAGCGAGACGAGCAGAAAAAATTGGCTTCCAGTTTGGCCGAAGCTGAGCGCCGTGTGGTGGATCTGAGTGAAAAAGCAGAATTGGTTTCCGATTTGCAAAATCGGGTGAATGAGCTAGCTATTGTGGAGCAGGAATGTGAAACTCTGCGCCAAAATGTTGTAGAAATGGAACAACTTGAGGTTTACCTACAAAATCAGGTTTCTCGGCTAAAGCAAGTAGCTGTTGGCGTTTTTCCTCCGGATGGCTCTGATCCCGATGTGGTCACGTCTAGTACTTCTGTGGTCTTAGATAGCACTCAAGATACTACAGAACCCGGAGTGATTAGTTTACGTCAGGGAATAGAACAGCTAATTTCATTAGTGGATCGATTCGAGTGTGAGTTGGCGCAGCGAGACAAACGAGAGATTGCAGAACATCAGCGAGAGACAGAACTTGCTTTGACAATCTCACAAATAGAAGAAACACATCTGCTACAGAAACGCGAATTAGAAGATCAATATAAGTGGGAAAAATCTGTCCTAGAGGACGAGATTCGGCAAAAGACGGAACAAATCCAGCAGTTGCAGACTCAGCTTGATCAGCTTCGGTCTGACTCTGAACAGGTTCGGGTGCAACTAGTTACACTTCAGGCACGCCTGGACGAAGCAGGACGACACGATCAAAAGGAACAAGAAACCGCCAACCGGCTGATGGAAGTTCAGACAGAATTGGAGCATCAAGTATCCAAATGGAAGGCACAATGCGAAGAATTGGAAATCAAACACGAACAACTCACTCTAAATCATTCACATCTTGAAACTAATCGAAATCAATTGGCCGAGCGTTTGGCACAGACTGTGACACAAGTGGAGCAGTTGAAAGCAGAACTGGCTGCTGCACAGCAAACAAATGCAGATAACAAGGACTCACACCGCACGACAACTCTGCCACAGCTGTTCCATCTAAAGCAGTCTGTCCAGTCTGTCAAACAAGTGGTTGACGATCTTCGGGCTGAGTATACTGGCTTCCGCCAGGCCACTCTTAACCAGGCAGCGTTGGAAACACAGCGAATTGTGGACAAGGTGCAGTCGTCTTGGAGTGCACTGTTGGATTCATCAAAGTCGACCTCCCAGTCTTCGGATGAAAATCAACGTCTACAAAACGAGGTATGACCGTTCTCTTTCCTATTCTGTCAATTGTTTTTGGTTCGCTCATTTCTACTGGGTTCCTATTAGTTTCAGTTTCATTTTGTACAAGCATCAACCATTTACTTTAGTGTGACTGTTTGAATTGCTGTCTTTTGGCTACCCATTTGGAGGAAGAGGTAGAAGGAAAATTGGAGAGCTGAAAGCAAGGTCGAAGATAAAGAGGAGAATTCCCGTAGACTAAGATTGCCTTTGTTTACGATACTCCACCATATCAATCAGTGTCTCTAATCATTGATTACAACGATCCCGAGGTCCTATCCAAGGAGCCCAACGCGACCTATATGACCGACTCTCCTGTTCAAAGTTTTCATACCCTGGTTCCAGGTCTGAGTTTGTCCACCCTTGACTTTTTCCCATCCACTACCTGCCTCAGCAAAAACCGCATGTCGTGACAACCTATTGGGTTACACGTGTAATACATGCTTCAACCAACGCAATCCATGAAGGTCGATCACTTGCTTCAATGGGCGACCGCGATCACCTAAAACTGCGTCTAACCTCAGCATTGCTAATCCGGTAGCTCCACCATATTCCAACATTGCTGCGTACACAATGGTGTTTAAACACTGACAGCCTACCTTTAACCTGTTGTCGTAATAACTGAGTTTCTGAGTCGTGTAGCAGCACCGGGCGAACCACTGCGGTATATATTCTACATATCCCAGACAACTAACTGGACGTCACGGTGGCATCACAGATGTATCAAGTTGGCCAATGCCGATCGAACCTTCTGCATACGTACCGACACTTCATCCGTAATGTGTCCGCCCGGGAGAGATATAGTAATGAGCGTATTTTTATAATCGTTCCCAGCGAATTGGCCTCAACTTTGATTCACTCGACATGGCTTTTTTCGGGCTGATTAAAAATGCTTGCTACTCCTGGGAACCAAACGAAACTGCAGAGAAATACTCCTATCTGACGAAAGCTCACTAGTTAATTATGCAGACCGAGGTGCTTATCCATGAGTCGGTTGGTGGTAGCAGGCTTCTTCCATTGAGATGTTTATCTGAAAGTTATCTTTTGTCTGCATGATAACAATTAACACTCTGCGGCAGAGCTGGATAGGGGAAACGTCATATAGCACTGATTAGATACTTATTGATAGGGCTATCTTGGGTAGATTAGCGGTTCGGTCTGGGACAACTTGGTATGCTCGTTTTCAAACCATCAGAAGGCTGGTGGATGCAACGATTTTGTACTTTTTCCAAAGCTGTTAAATAATGCGTTAACATCGTGCGTTGAGTACTTTTCCATTCAATGATATTAGTCTAAGTGGCTTTCCTCACCGTCATCATCATCATACAGCGAAATACAGAAAGACGGATTTCACTGATCTTTGCCAAACTCGCAATGCTTTCCTTACCGGGGTTTATTGATCCGGTCTGCTAGTGATAGTAACGTAAAACACTGAACCGTCACTGGTTTTTAGGTGATGAGATAACTGTAACATAAGTCAACTAATCGAAAGATCACGAAGTGCACTAAGTGTTGCATTAATGGGATAAAGCAATAACCGCTATCCGTTCATTCTTTTTTACTGGACGATGCTCTTGATTCATCAGGCATCAGTTTTCACCGGAAGAATACACTAAATATGGGCAGTGGACTGTTATTTATTTCTACTGAAGTTCTTGACACCATATTTAGATTTCACATTCCTACCCACATGCAGGTAAGTTGCAAGCTTTTCTGGATAGCTTGAGCGCCAGCGTAGCTATGTTCGGTACACGTTTTGCACCTTCAAAGTGTAAAATGTGACTACAAGACTGGGTTGGTCTAGCAACCAGGCTCACTCTTACTGGGGAAGTAATAAAGCAAGTGGACACGTTTTGCTATTTAGGCAGCTACATCTCACCCAGTGGACGCATCATGGATAAAGTGTCTGCTGGTATACAGAATGCTCGGTTGGCATTTGCCAACTTGAGACATCTGTGGCGCCGTCGCGACATCCGGTCGAGTGTATGTTGCTGCACTTCGGCCAGTTCTGCTATGCGGCTCAGAAACTTGGCCATTAAGGAAGCAGGATAAAGATAGACTGTCGGCGTTTGAATAATGCTGTCTACGCAGCGTTACACGAATCTGGTGGGGTAGCCGGACGAGCAATGCTGAGGTTAGGCACAGAGTTTTGGGCAACCGCGGTCACCCACTGGAGCAATTGGTCGACCTCCATGGATTCCATTGTTTGGGACGTGTTACGTATGTCACCAGATAGGTTGCCACGGCGAGCGATGTTCGCCGAGGCAGATAGTGGGTGGAAGAAAGTCAAGGGTGGTCAAGCTAAGACCCGGCTTGAGGGTATGGAAACCCTAACCAGGGGACTGGGTCACATAGGTCCCGTTAGGCTTCCTGGTTGGGGACCTCGGGATGATCGTAACCGGTGGTTAAAGACACTGAGTGATATGACTGAGTGTCGTAAACAGTGGCGTTCGTGTATCTTCTCAATTTCTTTGCAACCTTAGACCACTGAAATTCTCCATTTTCTGTTCAACTCTACTTCAATTTTCCTGTTTCCTATTCTTCATCCCAATGGGCAGCCCAAAGACAGAAACCAAAACCGGCCCGNGGCCCGCAAAAGTGCATTCCAAATGGTTGTACGAACTGAACTGAACTGAATTCCTATCGACGAGATGAAACGGTTGCTTTTATGAAGGTGCAAAGCTCCGTCGAAGATTTACCTCCCATGTGATTGCAATATAATAAATCAGGTCAGAAAGCTAGTATATTTAACCTTACCAACATCTGCAGCCATATCACCCAAAAAAGCAGTTTGAAAGCAAATAAAATCTTACAGAATCGGTCATATGTTCTCACTGCTGCGCATACGGCGCTGGTGTTGCTTTTGGTGGCTAGACTACTTGAGTCGCTGTCACTGGTTTGCTCCGGGTTCTAAGATCTGAAGTTCGAATCTTGATATCGTTTTTACCCTGCCTAGTGCTCAACCCATCCCGTTAAAGCCATATATAGTTCACTGTCCCAAATTTCCAGTGATGGAATATTCATTTATCTTGGATGATTTGAAATCAAGATTTGCTCACTTCCATAGATAAACCTCTGGTTTGTTAAATCGGTTATAACCCTGGAGATTGGCTTCTCGCCTGTCTGACTGCAATGACCCTTCCTCTCCACAATAAGCTCATGACTCGATAATTTCCATCAGAGACTGCAAATGCAAGTTTTATCGCATATTTTTCGAGGATTCGGGGAAATCTGTGCACTCAAACTTTCACCTCTGACCATGATGGGGCGTTTGGATGTGGGACTGTAAATAAAACAAAAATAAAAGCGTTACGTTTCGTAGTCTAACTGATTGATTTGTTGACCACATTGGTTCCATTCTCCATGTTGTGTGTCAGGTAGATATCGAATCGAGAACGGTACAGTTCTTATGATCACGCATTACCGTTCGAACTAAAATTAATGCATTTGGTAAAGCCCAGCCCAATCTACTGCTACATGGACCCCGTAATTTTATCATTCTGACTCGGGGAGCGGAGTACTGTTCTCCACCGAATAACTAGTTGTGTACCTCTCACTTCTTCCACCCCCTCATCAGACAGCCATTTTACGTGAGCGACTGGTAACCTTGGAACTGGACCGAGAGCGAACGAATACACAATACATGCTTCTGAAGGAACAGGCAGAACAAACCACTGAAGAGATGGAGCGATTACGTAATGATTATATGCAATTGACCGAGAGTCACCAGTCCACAAACGGTGAACTAGCTACCGCACATGCCGAGCTGTCCAGGCTATCTCAAACGCTCCAAATTGAACGGGATCAGTTCTCTCGGGACCGGGACGAGTTCGAACGATCCGCCAGTGCTCAGCAAACTCAATTAGCCGAGGTTGGTAAACGTGTGGAGGAGCTGGAACAAGATCGGGCGAGTCAGACCGTTCTGTCGGAACAATTGTCCAGCGAACAGGCTCGCGTAAAACAATTGGAATCGGAGTTGATCTCAGCCTGTTTGAACGCTGAATCAGCGCACCAGGCTTTGCTAGAACTGGAGGCTAGGGTCGGCATCATGCTGGACCAAAGAACGGCTGATGAAGAGAAGTGGGACCATTTGAACGATGAGATACAAGAAATTACACAACGCTTGACAACATCCGAATCTCACGTTCAGCGGTTAATGGGAGAGGAAAGTGCCCGTTTATCTGAACACCAAGCCCGTTTTGATGCAGCGAAGCAAGAAGTGAGGTCCTATCTTGTGTTTACTGTTTGTAAACTTTATATATGTATATATTCATGTTTCATGTGAATAATAGACGATGTGATTCAATTTCAAAGGTGAATTCATCGCGTTTATAGAAAATGAAGCATGAACTGAAAAGCCAAGAAGCACTGGACGGCTGGTTGGACCTGGTTGGGTCTCATCAGCAGTACGAATTCATCGACCATCGACGCTTCATTTGCTATATCCACGACGAATTTACCTGTGAAATTGAATGTAATTCTCCATTACACACATGAAACAACTAGTCAGGTTGTGAATGTTTGCAACCGAGTCGTAATCCGGAGGCTAATGCTGAGGTGAGCGAGGTATGAGGCTGGCAACAAGCTCGCAAAGATGGGTTGTGCTATATCGTGTAAATTGAAAATGAAAAACGGTCTGATCAGCTGCCCAGTGGATAGTACGCTTGCATTCTCCCTGTGAGGGCCCGGGGTTCGATCCCCTATTGGGTCGATGGATTCGCACTGCTGATGAGACCCAACCAGGTCGAAACAGCTGTCCAATGCTTCCTAGCTTTTCAGTTCACGCTTCATTTTCTATATACACGACGAATTCACCTTTGAAATATATTCATGTGTTTAAAGATGCAGATGCGTACGCAAAACAAGGATAAAACACTGAAACATGCTAACGAAGAATACTGACCCCACATAAATTGTCGCGTTTTCTCTGCATTCCTTCTCAACTTCGTATCGAGTTTGGATTTAGGAGCACCTCCATCCTCATAGGAGGAGGATGGTTTGTGCGTTAGTTTATCTACTTTCGGTATTCGTTTCGCACCTAACCTTATCGGGTGTGGACAAATTTTGCTTCTCAGACGTCCGGATCTGTCCTTGAAATCCGGACACGCTTAAAAATACTCGACTGCTGTTTCAAAACTTCAATCATCTGACCATCGTGATCCCATAGATGTATCCGGTTCAATTAACAATTACGCACACAACTTGAGAGAATGAACGATTAACAGAAAACGTTGATCTGTCCTACGCAGTTAGCAACACGATTCAATACCGATAGGATTTGAACAGAGGGAACATAAAGAAAGGTCAAATACCACACAATCAACAGCAGGTAAAATCCGAAGTAAGTGACCAGTAATCCCGAGAGCAATCTCTGTGAATAATTAGAGGGGAGGGTTCGAATCGAATAGATTTGGGTGTCGGATGAAACGGCAATCTGAGAAAATGGCACAGCAGTGAATGCTTCACATCGAGTGTATGACGCAGCCAAACGGTGCTCGATCGCCGCTCGATTCTAATGCATGTGGACAAAAGTTACTGGCAGAAAAAAACGAGATGATTACAGGGCTATAGTCAGGTCACGCACAAACATCGGGCAAAATTTGACCGATAGGTCATGAGGCTGGATCAATCAATCGAGTGCATGGTTGGATAAGCATGTACACATAAAAGTTTGTCGATTAGATGAACGATGTGTCAAGTAAAACGCGACCATCATAAGAACCCGTGTCCAGGAAGACATGAGCACCCGTAGCAGTCGTGATACCTCTCACGATGTGTCAGTACGTGCCAGGAGTGACTGAGTAAACAATACAAACTGGTAGCGTGGGTCTATGTTATGTGTACCGTCAAGCGGACAATAGCGCTCAATTGAACACTAACTGTTATGTTACTGGAAGAGATAATAAGTGTCATAAAATGTCCCAATATACCAAATGTGTTCCGTAACTGTAAAACGAGGAGATTTAACAAGAAAATAGTGAAACCGCCCGGTTTGACGATTACAGATTTTGCAATGTGGTCACTACTTGTCGAATTGTGATCGTCGATCTGTCGAGCTCGAATCAAAATGCATTGTTCTGGACGTTTTATCACTCGTAGTGCTCCTTCATCTACTGTACTCACGCTCTTAATCGTGCTGTATCACATTCATCCCTTCCACATTGAGGGAATGCAGTCCTCCGACTGTTGCCACAATCAAGGCGTTCAATTGTGAGTGACTCGGAGCACGGGACTTGATCAGCCAACACGTTATTTTTTTCTTCTTACGTTTTAATCTGCTATCGCGCAGAACCATACTGTTTTGTTCTTCTCATAACACGTGGGAATAAATTCAGACGGGGTTATCGTGTATGTTTTGCGATTAGTGTTCGTTCCCATGGGTACAATTTCCACTCTTTCCGTGTGTACTCCGTAGCCGGATTCCTGATATCACAAAAGCACCCAAATCTCAGTGTTTTTTTAACAAAAAAAAACGAGCTGAATTCAGATTAGTCGAATTCTCGCCACTACAAATAAGTGTCCTCGGTGTCAATTGTCGTTTGCATTTAAATCTCTAACCGTTTTGGTCTATTCCTATACAGTATCTAGTGTCATCTAATTACCATCTTCCCTCAACTGCTTCATTCAAATGGATAACGAAAAAAGAAAACAGTAATTGAAGCAGCCTCACGAAAGTGCATAGTTAGTAACTGTAGAAACTGAAAACTGAGCTCATTTCGACCCATACCACTCCTGGCGTAGCCAACTGAGTTCGATCTGTTGTGTACTTCTGATCAATTCGCACTCCGCTGCTGGTTCGCAGTAAATCAGGCTTAATATGTAGACACAAACCACATGGAACTTGTTTCGCCTACTGAGTTTTTGGCTGGCCCCTCTGACCACGGGTTTTTCTTTATTCGTGCGCAAATGCTTATTTGGGGATTCTCCCAAATGAATATGTACTTGTTCCTTCAGAGCCGATTGCCAGTGCTTTTACCAGCTATGCGTACATATGTTTTCAAAAGGCAAGGGAATAAATCGACTTCTCTGTAGACGGACAAGAATACTATTTGCGTGAGTCACCGAGCGAGGTCGAAGGTTTCGTTGGGGTGGGGTGGGGTTTGGCTGTTCGTCCCCCACTCTTCAGGGAACGTTATATCATTGACCGTTGATCCAGTTAGCTGAACACTGTTTTTAGGTGGACTCCCAAGTCACCAGTTTTCATTACTTTCTTTAAGTTGACGAGATTTGCATTTCCTCTGAATTCAATTCATATCGGCTGAATAGTATTCAATCCACAGGCACCAAACATCGTTGACGTTGGAGTTTCCAAACAACGCTGTCTCGTGCCATTTGATGTTCAAAATCATTCTCTCCTGTCATATATCGAATGAAACAATAGATGCACTGCTGACCTCCGTGGCTGATGAGTAATGGGGTCGGAAATAATATCTCAGTATAATAAATGTGCAAAAGCAAATTTTTTTAACGGCAGTGAACGGAGTGTTGAAATAAAAAGAAGATTTTATCAAAGCTACACGTCTGAGTTCAGACTGTGTGCCATCAAATCACTATACAATAATCTTTTTAAAAAGAAAGAGTTCCATTATTTGCCCATGGGCTCGATACTGCTAGGTTGTTCAGGCCAATGCATGTGAGTTTTCTCAGAGATTTCACAATCCGAGCCTTCGGCTGACCAAAGCCTGATCCGCAGCGCAGCTGGACCGTGTGAAAACTGCAATCCTTTGAGGGTCAGTGTGCAGTTCATCGGATAGTACGCCTTTTGAACGGGGTTAAACGTCCAAGGTGCCAATATACCTCGATGCCCAATCGAGCTGTGGATCACTACCACGATGAGGGAGATGTGCGTGGTTCCTACGTCTCTTTTTTGGTTGATTTGAAATCAAGGTTTTCATTCAACTCCCCTGGGGGGAATTGGCAGTAGTTCACCAATCCGGTAATAACCCGGATATTGGCTCTTCGTTCTCACTTAGTTGCGAATACACCTCCGCAACGAGGAGGCAGTAAGTAGGGCTTCCTCAGCAGATGCTATTTGAGACGCTTGACCGTATGGGAGCATTTCGCCGGATGCAAGGGAGAGGTGACCAGTCGCAACTGAAGACACCCACCGTAACCATACTGAGGCTTTTGGATGCGTAGAAATACAACTAAAATATACACGTTTCGTGTATTTGTTTTTTTTTTAATATGTGCTATTTTCATTTATTTATTCGCTATTGTTTAACTTACCCCAACATTAGCTATGTCGTGATCATTTCTTTGTGGTCAGATAATGTGACCAAAGTTTCGACTGGGGCAACTACAGCGTGGTGTATCGCCTTCCACAAAGAACTGATCACGACACAGCTAACGTTGGTGTACATTAAACAATAGGGAATAAATAAGCGCATAGCGTGTATTCAAAAATAAACCGTTAGTCACTAGGCCTCATAGAAGTTGCATTGTGAAACGTATTTTCTTCGCTGAATGTGGGCGACACATTCCAAAAATAGCTCGTCACATGTACATCAGAGCACCCTTGGCTTGCTCTTTTAGCCCCGGATTAAACATCATATCCTCCACCGGGTTTATGTATCACCTATTTCTGCTTACCTTTCATTGTCTGTCAGGTGTCCCGATTGCAAGCATCGTCAAACCAGATCACCACGGAGCTCCTGGAGCAGCAGGCGGTCACGAAAACAGTTTCCAATCATCTGCTGAACTTGATTCACGCGAATGCTCTAGAATGCGTGACTCGTATGGAGCGAGCTTCAACTAGACTACAGTCTGCAGCTGCACCCAGTGACTCACCCGAGTTCGAGCAATTGCTCGCGGTGAAACAGTGCGCTTCCGAGATCATTCAGGAGATCAAATGCTTAAGCACAAACGAGCAACTTTTGCCGGTCACTGAAAACAGTCCGCTGTCCGTGTTACTCGATCGATTCGAGAAGGAGTTACACAATGTGTCCGAACTGGAAATGCGGGTGGAACAATTGGTTAAGGAGGCGGATCAACAACAAATCCGTTCGACCGAACAAGCTCAGTTGGAAATCAGTCGATTGTCCGAACGCTGTAATCGTAGTAATGAAATTGAACAAGAACTTCAAAAGCGTGTATCTCAATTAACTGCCGAGTTGGACCTGTTACGTAATGCTGAACAGAACAAGGATGATGCACTGGCCTCTGTTGAATCTAAGTTGGAGGCTACTCGACAACGTCTTTGTGACGCGGAAAAGCAGTTGCAAGAGACACAGGCGGTTCGAGAACAGAATGAGGGCAGATTAGAGGAGACCGCGACGCAGTTAGCTCAGTTAGAGGCCAAATTAGTGGAAATGTGCAATGTTAAGGAGAGCATATCTGCAGAGCTTGCTGCTAAACAGTCGGAGGTGAGTTCATGGCGTTTCTGGAGTACATTTTGTTCGTGGTACATACTGTAGACCGAGAGTGTATGATTTGGACATCTTACACGGCACCGATACACATTATTTCATGGTTAGAAATGTCATTGGTTTCGTTTTTTCTCCATTCATTACCGATCACTGCTGGTTCAGTTGCATCGATCTTCAGTCTATTGCGAATCTATCACGTATGTGGCTGTAACCGCACCAGCTCGCGTATCGAATGCAACCTCGGTTTTATATATAGTTTCATATGTTCTATCGGTTTATCATCCCGGACCGTTCATATCATTCAGTGAGCTTCATTTCTCGTCCCTTTTTTTCTCCATTACAAACCGTACTTGTTTGAATTGTAGTTAGATACTGTGGTAGCTGCTCGCACCGAAGAAGTTGAACAACTTCGACTTGAATATGAACGCAAATTAGACGGTCAGTTGCACGAGGCGAACGAAGAACAAGTCAAAGTGAACCAGTCTCATGAAACGCAGCTAAAAACAATGCAAGAAACCATGAAGAACAAAGAGAAACAATGGAAACAGCAAGTCAAGGTACGTTATCCGATTTTCGGATGGGAAGATAAACCTTGTGTGAGCGTGCTAGTTCTCGTTTTGTACTCGATGTTTCAGCCCCTTTGTGTTTTTATCTGTGCATCTAATGCCGAGTTTAGAGCAGTCCAGTTGGGCAGCTATACCGATCTCATCTGTTCACTTCATGTGACCATCTTTGGCATGACTTGTTTCCACAGAGGGCTTTGGCGATTACCGTCGAGGTACGACGATCCAAAGCTGTTTTGAACACCGGTCATGATTCCCCACGTTCAGTTCCGAATGTTCTTTGTTGACTTAAATGTTGTGATAATTAGTGATATGGACCTTGTGATAAAAGTCTCGCCGATACCCCCGCCCTCCCAGAACGGTTTAAGTCGCTGGTACCGACGCCCAATAACCTACCCAAGCGTCCGGACCTCTCTGGCAATCCTGTTTTTAAAGCGGGATGCTTTTCATTGTCACACCCTATTGTAGGCACTATTGTAAATATTGAAGTTTTACCATAAAATTCCTTGTTCTGATCGACAAAGAGCACACATTTTCATCCTTCTTGGGGTCGATCAGTAGGGCGTAGTTTTAGTGATGTCCTGCGGCTCTATGGCTCGAACCGCACTAGGCTTCGTGTTGATTGTCGATACCGTTACTCCAGTGGACTGTCAACATCTTGAGCGAATGTCCCTATTAATTGGAGCTATATTGTTTCAATTACTCCAATCAAGACACTGCCTTTGGTATTGAGTGTATTGCATTTCATCGTTACATTCCGCACTCATCCGAGTCCAAACTGTGTGCTAAACAAATCGAGGTGCATCAGTCTTTATAACGCAATAATGGGATCGCGATACGACTCGGTTACTCAGGCCGAAGCAGATGGATTTTCGTAATAAATTCAAAATCGGAGCCTTCGATCAGTCAATAGCCACCTCACCCCCTAGGTTGCCACGGCAAACGATGTTTGCCAAGGCTGGTAGCGATTGGAAAAAAACGAAGGGCGGTCAAGCTAAGACCTGGCATGAGGGTATGAAAACCCTAACCAGGAGACTAGGTCACATAGGCCCCGTTAGGCTCCCTGGCTGGGCACCTCGGGATGATGGTCACCAATGGTTAGCTATACTATTGATATGGCTGGGTGTCGCAAACAGTGGCGCTCGTGCATCCACTCGTTATTTTCCTAACACCACTCTATATGTTTTCCCCATCTTCCGCTTGAATTTGCTTCGACATTCCAATCTTCATTTCGCTCTTTTATCCAAATGGGCAACCAAACCCGGCGCACGAAAGTGCATAGTTAATAGTTTTATAAACAAACTGAAACCCCCCAGGGCAGCGGGACGGTGTGTTTAATCCACAATCTATTGGAGGCTGATGTCTGGTTCATAGGATCACACACCTTTTGGGCGGGCTCAAACGCCTCTTGGTGAAATGCCAGTGAATGGTTTATCGTCCAAGTTATAACTCCGGATGTTGGCTTTTCGTCCTCTCGCCTCTGTTTGAAAACACCTCCGTTTCGTGAAGGCAATGAATAGGGTTGCCGCAGTACCACTTAGAAGACATGATGCTAAGAACTTAAAAAGGCACACAGTTGGAGACTACTACATTGTGTTTGTGTGCAGAGTGCGGGAGGTGGTGTTTGGTGAGATACCATCTCAAAAGTAGATATGATGGTGTGATTAGGATATGGACATCACTGGATTCTCGTCGCCGTGGTTAGAAAAATGAATGACCTATAGTTGTATACTAATTCAGTCTTGTAAGAGCTGGTGGATACTGCAGTGAAATGCACACAAATCCAATGCGATACTTGAACAGAAATAGTAACAGAGCAGATGTTGTTTGAGGATGGTGTTCACTCACACACACTGCAGCACGGAAACAACAAAAAGCAGAATATATTCTTAATAACGTCTGTTCACGGCTTCAGTTCGTGTATGGGAAAATTTTCTTTTCGAATTTGTACTGCACCACTATGTTTACTAAAAATGTTGCGTTCACATTAAGCCCCACCAATGCATGGGATCTCTGTGACAGCGCGTGCATCGGTGAGTTACAGTACGGCGAAGGTCGTAAATGCAAAAATCACAGCGGAAACCGTCGTCAGTTCTGTCTTCATGACGTTCGCTTGTTACTGTTCTTTTACTATCGAATCATATGACATTATCCGCGACGAATCACCTATCCGTTTTCGCCTCATTCGTCCCCGTTTGTTTTTTTGTCTAGGACCTAAAAACGCGACTCAAACAAGTTCTTCAGGAGTCGGAAACGTTGCGCAAAGCCAGTGTGGCAAGTGCAAGCAAAGAACAAGAAGTTTTCGCACAGCTTCATGAAACCGAGGTGCAATTGTCCCAGAAACAGAGTGATTGCGATCAACTGAAACAGAAAGTTCAAGACCTAGAGAATCGAGCAGCAGAGTTGGAGAAAACATTGGAGAAAGTGCAAACTGAAGCTCAATCCCATGCGCCGTAAGTCTGCCCCCCCCCCTCTATTGTGCGTTTTTGTTGCGCAGGGAGTTCCAGTTCACGAATTGACTAATCCATTATTTTACCGCAGTGTTAGAAAAAGAAACTAAACTTTTTATTCACTTCCGACAATAAGAACAACGTGGTCACCGAACTGAAAATGTGAAAATATTCGATAAAAAATTGTACTCATGGATACATCTCAATAAGCTGCACCAAAAATATACGGATAGTATACTACTGACGCAGGTTCTTTTTTCCCAGAGTTCAGTCCATCCAGTCTGCTTCAACAATACAACAGGTGTTATCCTGCAGCGCGTTACTAACCCCTCTTACCAACAATCCTCAGAGGTTCAATCGAATTGAATTCATCATAATCGTACAGCGAGAAGCGAACTTCACTGATCGCTGCCAAGCTCAATGTACACAAATTAAATGATAAATCACATGGGGAGGGATTGGGCCTACTTTGAGGATGGGGAAAAAGATGAACCTCTATGATCAACACAGTACCCAATCGAACTCTGCATACATACCGTTTCAAGCATTCTGACCCGATAAAAAATAGCAACAAGAACACTACTGCTGTCGATTCGCTGTCATATCCTTCAATGTATCCAACCAAGCAATTGCGGAGTTTTTCGGACCCCAACCTGGAAGACGTGAGACACCGATTCTACCCAATCGCTCTGTGCATTTCTTCATGCCTCGTTTCTACATCATCTGTCGACCTCCACGTAGTTTCTTCCAACCTAGAGCCACAACTGCGAATAAGGCGCGGTACGGTAGACGATCGCTGGGCATGCGCAATACGTGTCCTAGTGAGCGAAGCCGACTAATCTGAATTCGATGAGACAATGAATTCTCCATCAAATCATTTAACCAAGTTTTAATCAGGTCTGCAATCAAGCTACGGTAGATACGGATTCTATAAAACATCAGCCATGCCTGTATGATGTATTTTGTGCACTACCTCATGTGCTGTTCCATCCGTCTTTGATGTAACGAACTGCAGACCAAGACATTCCTGTTATATAAACTGTTGCACTTCCGTCATTGTCCTGGAAGCGTCATGCTTCAGTCGTGGAACGTTTTTTTCTTTTTATAAAGATTATTGTACCATGATTTGCCTGGCACGCAGTCGAGTTCCTTGTGCATGCTCATTCTTCCCTCATTTCATAGATCAGGATGCCTTTGTGTTTCGCCGTATGAAAAATGAGCTTTCTGTATTAGCGAAATTAAATGATAAAGCGCAACTGTTACCACGGTTTCAGGGTACACAATCTGTTCCATGTTATTGAGTCCATCGGCCCCACCGGATCTTTCTTTTGGTGTCAACATAACCCTTCTTTAAATCCGTATGTTTTGATTTGTGAATTTAATTTATCAACTCCGAACGAACTGCTTCTGATTGCATGGCGGGGGCTGGGGGTGAGCCATTTTTTGGATAGCTATCGCTTCGGCTGTGCATGGAATCATAAACTGAGGTCTTTTTGGCAGAGATAAACAACTCTATTCTCGCCAGCGTCCAACAGCTTGTGTCTTCTGCCGATTAGGTTCTCATTCAAGTCTGCAAAGCCGGATGGTGAAACGCTCACAGTGCTGAACTTGCAGGTCTTTAATCATTATCACGCACGAATTGACGTAATAGAACTGAGTCCCACACAATGTTTTGATGATAGCCAATCATTTCTTTATCACCATTGTACTTCATGCATGTTTTACCGTATCAAAATATTAAGAAAATATTTCTCTCGACGCCATGATCTGATTTTCGATCTAAGTTGCGAATTCCATAGCCTCTTGGGTCAAGGGATAGAGGTGATTCCTCGATGTCGCCTATACTCGTGAGTGAGGTGGCCTGTCGTCGTCATCCTGTAGAATTTGTCTTGTCCTATTGGATATCTGAAATCGTTCTCAATCCGTGGCATTCGTATGCACTTCCATAATTGACTTGTACCAACCATACCTATGAACGGCCTGAAATCTTAATGCGGTCGATGGATTAGAGGACGCCATTTTCAATGATCGAATAATTCTTGTTTCTAATGTAACTCAATCGCTTACGCGACTGGGTCGAACAGTAAATTTCAACCACCCTACCGAAGCCGTATAGATACGCATTCGGAGGTGGAGGAATTTATTCTTCCTGTGTGTATTGCGATCTGATTAACGGCAGTGGTATGCGTCAAAGGCTTGATGGAACCAGCGGCTTAATCGCTGGAAATTGCAGTTCTGTCTCCTTGCCTGTTCACCTCGCATGCCAGTAATCTAACGGTTATTGCTCTTGTTAACTTTAAGTATGCTGATGACTTGGTGTTCGCCCGGGAAATCTCAAATCAGTACGTCTTCAACTTTTCCCACATTTTTTTACTAATTATAGCTACTCATCGCATTTTAGCCTCAGCAAACTATCATTTGATGATCACATTGAAGCTACTGCTCACATCTGATAACACTATCCCTCCCGCTTAACATAAACAGTGATTCACCAGTACCGATTCTCAAGATAAAAGTAGCAGAGGAGTTCCGAAAGAATATCAGATAACTTGTAGCTGAAAATGTCCGTTTTACTCGGCTTAAAAATTTGTGAATACAAATAATTGATGAGGGAAGTGTGGTGTTGAGCTGCGTGGCATTTGGACTGATATATATATATATATTTCACACTTGTCTGAGGACAGACTGTGTGCCAAACAAACCATGGTACAATAATCTTTATAAAAAGAAAAATGTTCCATGATTGGTTTGTGGGCTGAGTACTGCCAGGTTGCCCAGGCCAAGGCAAGTGAATCCACAACCGGAGCCTTCGGCTAGCCAAACCTGACCCGCAAGGCAGCGGGGCGGTGTGCGAAAACCTCAGTCCATTGGGAGTCGGTGTCTGGACTGAGCATCTTTCAGATTCCAACGTCGCACACACTCCTCAGCTTGTCCGGTCCACACTGCATTCGGTCGGTCTACGTTCTTCCACAATCCACATGTACATACAATAGTAAAATACTGCAGTCTGCTGACATCTCAAATAGTTTCATTTTGAGGATAGCGTGAATGCAGATCGATTGGATTTTCTCAGAACTTTATCTTAAACTGTCAAGCATTGACTGTGGTCACTAGATTTCTAGCGCGTTATTCGTGTACGGATCGATTTCAGTTGCGGGGAATAGCGTCATTCAGGGAAACAACCTTTTTCACAGCACAACATTTTTTCCCATTCAACAAACCGTTATTGAAATCGGTACCATTTGGTTTCCCTGGTCAATTTGGTACCGATTTCCGTATTATATTTCTTCAGTATTTTTTTCGAAGACCGTTAATAGTTAGCCATTCTCGCATTCCATCGTCATGTTCAAGGCCACCGTTGCTTTGCGATCTGTAAGTTTTTTTCGCATTCCTCACACCTGTTCTGTTCTGTTTCCGTCTGTTTGCCGAAAATCCTGTTTTGTTTCGTTTCAATCTCTCATGCAATATGTTTGTTCATTTTCATATCTGCAACCGTTTTCCCGAACCGCAATTTATTTCGACAACAACCACAATAACTATAATTAAAGAACTATGATCGACGATGTCCGTGAACAGTATCAAAAGGAAACGGAAGCGTTGAAGGCCGAACACGCTTTGCACACACAGGACATGCAAGCAGAGTACCAGTTTCAGCTTCGTGAGCGTGAGATGGAATTACGAACCCAGTTCGAACAACAAATGGGTAAGTCTATTTTCTGTCTGTCTGTCTCTTGTGTCGGGTAGCCCGCACAACGTAGTTACGAGAGCATTAATCGCCAGACATGTCTTTGAAACATTTCCTATCTATAGTTCACCTGGATTTTGGAACAAAGGTTCTCAGGAATGAAGTTGAAAAAGACCGGCGTCACATAGCCGGGAGACTCTCTAACAACCGATTGGGCCAAATTTGCTAGTTCCCCATTGTTATAGGCTTTTACCTAGTGATATAAACTACCGGATCAGCAATACTGCAGTTGAAGGCTAACTAGCCTTTTGTAACCATTTTTCCACAACGTTTCAATCAGTTTTCTATTACTTAATTCTAACTATTTGATTTTTATTGGAAAGCCATATTTGTTTGTCTAGCACTGCAGTGACCGACCTAGTTCGGGGCGCACATAACTGCTGCTGTGGTCCACTTTCCAGTGGCCTATAGGTTTGAGTTTAATCCCGGTTAA